GTGCGAGGTTACAAACGTAGCCTATGCTCCTTTTCTATGTGCGTTCCTCACTTAAAACGAAAGTGAAAGTAGCCTATGCATTCGGGATAGTTTAAAAGAACTCGGGTCTAATCGGGTCCATTTGGAAAAAGCATGTTTATTTTAAATTACCCGAGACCGCTAATACCGAACCCTACCCGTGTCCGAGGTACTCGAAGTTTTGGACCCGAACCCGCTCGGGTCTCTTGTCGGACCTCGGGTTTTCGGATCCAAGTGGACCCGTGAAGACTTCTACTGCACACCCGATAAAACACTTAAAGGATTAAACACCCAATAAAGACAGGACTGTAACGGGCAAAACACACATACTGAATGAACACCAACACCAACCTGAGATAAACATAAAGAATGTCCGGCTGTTTACTAGCTAGCTTTAAGGCAAGAATACACTACAGGACTTTTTTTTTTTAAACTGAAGGCATCATACACTTACCAACTTTGTAAATGGTTACAGAGAAAAACTGGGCTTCACCCTCTAAATGAATGAGAATCACACACTAACAGACTTTCAAGTCATTCTAAAAACAACAAACTCACACAGGGATGCACGACAAATTAAAACAATATGTCTTCTAAAATTGACTCAAAATATCAAACATGTTTGATATCCTCCGACTGGATGGAATCAAAGTCTGAAGCTAAAATATTGTAGTCTGTGCCTATCATACATTATGAAATCTGCCAACTCCTACTGGCCAAAATCTGGAGAATGGCTCTGACTTTCAGCAACACTTCCAGACTGCAAAAAAATCTATGTAAAAGTTGTGTAGTGTATTCCAGCCTTTAGGACAAGTAGGCCTATCTGAAAGAAGGCAGAGAAACATTTGCAACCATCTCTGTAATCAAAATGTGATTACTTTAGCTTTTGAACCGCTGTGCGTTTGATGCTGTCAGGTAAGATGACTTTCGTCTCCTTTTCCCAGCTCCTCTCATCTGCCTCTGCTTTAATCAATCACTGTATAGAAGGTCTATCAACACTTATCAAGTTGGAGGTCTCTCAAAAGCACAGCTGTGTGTGTTCCCCGTCAATCCATTCATATTGTTTGTGACAAACAGATGCTCTTTTCTTGGATGTGAATCACCGGTGGAAAGACTGTGTATAAACATTGAGATGTGTCAAGAGAGACAGCTATTATACATCATCCTGTAGAAAGGTTCACAGAAATGTTGCTTGGCCTTGAAATGTTAAGTGTCAGATTTATTGTTTCTTTTTAAACGTGAAAAATTTTGCATACAATTTTGTGATAAAAATAGCAAAAGAAACATTAAAGGAGGTTAGGCTCAGTTGACAGCACTTGTAGCTTAATGATGATTTCCACAAAAAAAATATTTAGGCTTAAAAAAAAAAAACGGTCAAAAATGGCCTGCAATGAAGCACTGAAAAAGGAGCTGAATGAGAACAATCAGTACACATTAAAATACTCACAGTTTCAATAGTATAGCCACAAGACAAACACTCTCAGAAAAAAAATGCTTGTACCTTTGTACAACCTTTGTACTTTGGGTTTATAGTAGTACCATAAGAGTGAATATTATTACCATAAGGATACATATAACTACTAACATACTATAATGCACCCTAATTGTAAGATTGTCACTTTTTCTGACAGTGAAATGTGTTTTAAAATGATTTCTCTTTCC